TAGCTTGATCAATTGAAGACAAACATTATTTACATGCCTTTTGTGGAGGTGAGGAAAAAAATCTAGATATGGATACCTTTATTGCTAATATAGATGGTGAGCTTGTAGCCTGTTTGGATTATATTGAACCATGATTTTATTTCTATTTAAATAAAAATTAAAGATTATCAGGAAATCTATTAGAAATTTTGAAGATGACAAAACTTGCTGGTACCTATACAATAAACCAATCTAAAAATGAATATGGGTATCTCATATAATACAGTCTCTATTTCTCTATGAGTTTGACAATTTAAGTTGCTGCATAGGTGAAAAAATTTATTCAGCCTCAACATAGAAAAAGCTGAAAAATATTTGCAATTCTAGTGTATATCAAGATAACAGTAACTAAGTGTGGCATCATTTCTTCTCACCCCGAAAAGAAGTGGTCGAGTGCAAACTTCCAGCTTTTTTGTGCAAAGAGCATCTCAGCAGAAAAAAAAAAAATTTGTTAAAACTTTCAACTAGTTTTCCAGCATTTTGTTACTGTGTCCAGGATTGAGTTTGAAATACCTTCTGCAGAAGCAATGCGCCTCAATTGCTCCTAAACGCATAGAATATAAAAATAAAATGTAACTTCTTGAAAGCCTTACCTTGGCCAGCGTTTGTCGCTTGGCATCAAACCTCCACAAATTTGCTAATGCAGAAGAAAGTGAAAGTGACAAAGCCTTAACAGACCAAAAGAGATTAGAACAAGAGAGATAAACATAATTTGGCTGGGTTCATAGGATTAAAAATTACCTTGGGATGGAACTTTCCAACTTCGATCACAAAGTCGGCCATGAACTCATAACCAGATCCATCCTTGGCATGGAAGTTGACAATGCAGCTAAAGAAGCCTCCCAAAAGAGCAGAAACCTGGAAAGGACTTAGTGCTTACAAACAAAATAGTTTTCAACCTTTGTGACATCCCGAGGATCGAAACAAGGGTGGTGTAAAAGTTGTCTCACAAGCTCCACGTTGTTTGGAGTATCAGCTGACGTTTGGAGATGGATCCACTTGTTTACAACCTGGAACAAGCTTCGATATATGTTTTCCGTCTTTCACAAAGAACATGTACATACCAGGCGCTCGTGTTTCCATTTCTCGTAAAAAGATGCCAGGATTTTCTCTCGCTCCTGTCCAGGATTTTGAGAGATTGCCGACAAAGCTCCCAAAAGATCAGTCAAGTTTGTGGCGTTGTCAAGCTCTTCGCATGCCAGTTCTAGTGTTTCTTGATCATTTAGAGATGCAAGATAATCTGCAAAACTCTGAGTGAAAAAAAGAAAAAGAAAATGGAAATAGGAATGAAGCTGCTTACAGAGTGCCGCATTTTTTAGGTCGCGCTTGCCTTTGCTTTCGGGGTTGAACTCAAAAGCAGGCTCCGAGGATCGGTTCTCCTTTACCTGTTACCATTCCTTATACAAGAAGTTCTTGTGAATTTGCTGTAACTTACCACTCGCATGAAGTCTTGTTTGAGCTCTGTAGCCAAACATTTTATCAAAAAACGTCGGACAAAGTGGCAAGCGTCCGGATCTGCAACTTCGGTCATCTCCAGAAGCTCCTTATCATCTGGTAGAGTGATCACAAGAGCGACAAACTCCTGCGAATGCCTTGTGCTTAAGTCAAGATTCTACATAGAAAGAGGAATATTACCTTGTTTAAGGTTGGGATGCTTAGAATGGTTTTGATCGCATGGGTGTAAGCCAGTGGAGTTGTAAGCTCTTGACCATTTTGAAAACTTGTGGTCATGTCCAGTATCAAACTTTTGGCAATCCTTTGGCCAGCATCCCACCTTGAAACGAAAACAATCTTGCATGCTGATAATAGGTTTTTTCCACGAAGATTACCTGTTAAAATCATTCGAGTCGTTTGCAAAGAGGAAGTATAACTCCTCCTCTCTAAGGTCTGGTGTTATCAAACGCACTGGAGCACTAAAGCTCCTCAAATAAGACGGAACTGGCTTCTCTTTCACGTCCAAGAATGTAAATTCGTGTTCCGTCTGCATTATCAGTCAGGAACGTTCTAAATAGATTAAAAAATGGAAAGCCGAACCTGTTCTACCCGAAGAAGAGCTGTTATTGCGCCAGTACTCTCGTTATGCTCAACTGTTGGAGACGATTCAATACCATCGACTAGAACCCTTGACAAAGGAATATCTCGTCCTTGGCTGTTTAGTAGACCCACGGCTAGAGGAATCAGTAGAGGACTTTTATCAGCTTGTCCTGGTGTTGGAGCTGTTTCCTGCCTGCCAAAAGTCCACAAAGTCTATCGCAAATATACTTAAAAATACGATGTTTTCTTACCGGCATTTTACAGTAAAGGTTGACGCTTGTGGATTATAAAACGAACTGATCTTCAAGCATGGAGTTCCGGCCTGCGTATACCTGAATTCACACTATTCTTTTTCCATTTGCCGTAAAACTTGAAACGTTACCATAGCATAAAGGATGAGAGGTCGTCCAAGTTGGCATCACACATAGCCTGGTAAAAATCTTCGCATGTTGCTGCGTGACCGTCATGTCTTTCAATATATAACTTAAACCCCTGCGAAAGAAAAAATATTTGCACAGCTTTTTTATGTTAAATGAAATGCTAAACCTTTAGAAATCCAGACTTTCCCAGCAATGTTTGGTAAAGACCAATGACTTGAGCTCCCTGAAAAATAAAACATATAAATAATAACTACAAGAACAATAGCAATAATGACAATGTGCTCACCTTTTCATAAACCGTTGCTGGGACAGTGGTAGTGTTTCTATTTAATATTTTATGCATAAGCAAAGAGTTCTAAGCTCACCTGTGTATAAGTTGTCAACCTGAACACATGATAGGAACATAAACCATAAGAATTTAGCAAATGAATGACACATACCTCAACATAAGATGCTGGCCTGACTGGATGAGCAAATGGACCCGTGTCCTGTAAGTTTACAACAAGAATCAAAGAACTGGAATGGTTGTTATACTTTCACCTCTTGGAATTGACGCTTTCGCAACGAACTCGCCGCTGCAATAGTTCGCACGGATCGGCATCCCATGTCGGAGAGAAACTCGAGCTCTCTAAAGTCTGTAAGGCCTTCCTTGAGAGATATCTGGAACCAGTCCCTGCAAGTCACTCTGGAGGCATGGCTTTGTAAGGAGGAGAAAGGAATTGACCAAAAGTGTGAAGTACCTGTTGCCAGTCCAGTTGTGAAAGAACTATAGAGGAGTTATAGGAAGAAAAGAGGTATATAATATGTCTACCTCATGGGCAACAATGCCCATCAAGAATTGTATGTCAGCATCCGTGCTTGTCCATTGTGATACAAGCAAGAACTTGGCGTTAAAAATCTACACCACGGACTTGTCAACTACTATTACAAAAGCATGATACTTACATTTAAGCTTTTGTTTTCCATGGCACCCCTGGAAACCAAAAGAAATCAGAAAATTAAGCCAGTTCTAGAGAGCAAGAATACTTACATAAAAGCATCTGGTACCGAGACAACATTGAAATTGTCAAGGTCGTATTCCAGGCCATAAACCTGAGAGACAATTATCTAGAGATGAGCAATATAGAAGCACAACAACTTACATCCTCGTCCCATTTCATTGCGGATTTTAGCACCGCCATTGCAAATTCAGTCTTTGCAACGTCCTCGGAGGGTGACCAAATGTTTAGCTTGACAAGTTGTCCGGAGCGAGTCGTGAATTTGTCCTGTCGAGCCTCAAACTTGCCGGCCACCAGCGCGAAAAGATAGCACGGTTTTGGAAACGGATCTGACCAAACGCTGTAATGCTTGTCATTATTCTGGAAGGAAAAAAACCTCAATGAAATTGACCACCAAAAAGAAAGTGGAATGAACTCACGTCAAGTTGGCCCGACTCAACCAAGTTTCCATTAGAAAGGAGAACAGGAAACTTATCTTTAGATGCTTCGATTCTCACAGTGAACTTGGCCAAAACATCGGGACGATCCTGAGAAATTTTGTTAGATATCGTCCTGGCAACTTTACAAATTATATTCCAGACCTGGTAAAACGTGATTTTGCTAAAGCCCGCGCTCTCACACTGCGTCACGAAATAGCCATTGCTGGAGCTGTAGTAGAGTCCCTAAAGCAGTTGTCTATGATGTTTAGCTAAACCGAAAGTACTTACGTACCTCATCGTTGTTGAGCTTTTGCAAAGGATAAATCTCTGTAACAATTTCCAGTCTGAACGGATTCTTGGGAGGCGCAAGAAGTGTGAGGTTGGACGACGTGAGCTCCACATCTTGGGCCTCTAGGCCATTGATTTTGACATAGACGAGCTTCAAATTCGATCCATCCAGCACAAGAGGAACTGACTCTTTGATAGAAGAACAAAGTCTGTCAAGAACAGGAAAAAGAGATAAAAACAAACCCACCGGAAGACTTTGGTACGACAAGGATCGAGCTTCGCACGCTTGTAACATTTTCCCCGAGATCGAAGCTTAAACTCACCTGGAGAAAACGAGTAGGAAACTGGGGCGTTGTGATTAAGAGACTTACGAAATCAAATGTATAGTCTGGAGCTCTGTAGTCGCTAAGAAACTTCATCACACTTTTCATCCAAGAAACCTAAAGTTCTTTACATAGCTTCTCAAAGGTTAGATATGTCTTCTGCACAACAAGCATAAACAATGGCGCTGCCTACTTTGTGTACGTCAAAGTCTTCTTCGTTTACAAAATGTGGCCTACTGTGTGCTCTCAGAGGGTGTGCTTGCTTCTCTAGCCTCACTCTCTCGCTCGCTCACTCGATCCCTCCTGGACTCCCGATCCGTCCTGGGCAAGCTCGCTGAACTCACTCGAGAGATGAAGACGATGGTGGTCTTTTTTCTGGCTTTGGTGTTCGTTCTTGCAGACTCTTATAGCTACGAGCTGGTAGATACTCGCAACGGGACTAGTCCATGCCCTGCTGCTCGATGCATCCTGCCCGCACCGGCATCGTGGTTTGCTGCCAGTCTGGACGACGCCACCTGGCAATTGGCTGCGAAATCGTATTCTCCTCTCCTACAAGCGTCTTTTCGCAACATCTCTGCCGTCGACAGTGGAGTGGTGCTTCCCACCTCTCTCGCTGTTGGAGCATCGATCACAATTCCCATCCTTGACGACAAGCTTCCTCACCGCCGCTTTCTCTCCAATCGCTCATCCTTCCTTCCTGACGCTGCCAATGTTGCTGGCTTTCTAGTGGCGATGGGATACGGGCCGGGATCATCCAACCAATACTTCAGCGTCATGGTTCAGGCTTACCAAGCCTATTGTGGTGGTAAAGCCATAGCTGGGGAGGTACGTGCTTGTTTCGCTTCTAAGAGTTCTATGGACACTTACGTCAAGAGAAATTTCCCGAAAGCCAAATTTGTCAAACTTGCAAAGTTCCAGAGCTCTCCAACCAAGATCACACTCACCCGCATTGACAACATGCCTGCTATCCAAACCATCTGCCACAAGATTGTCTTCCCATATGCTGTCTACTCGTGCCATAAGATTGACAACACGATTGCAATCTACGTAGAAGGGTACATCAGCCAGAAGCCTACTGAAAAGGAGGTAGCTGTACTCATTTGTCACGAGGACACATCTAGCTTCTCTCGAGATTCTCCGTCTCTGAGGGCGCTCAACATGAGGCCGGGAGAAGGAGCCTTTTGTCATTTCTATGCTGAGAATGACTTACTTGCGATCCAGTCTTCACCATGATCACTCAAGACGCTCGACAAGAATAAGTTTAAACCACGCACTGTTTCAAGAAGGCTATGTATACTTGCAACTGTCCACATCACCTCCACGTCTTACAATGTTTCAATCTTTGTTTAAAACGAACATTAATTTGCTTTCATGTTTAGTAGCTCTCGCTACGTTGAACCACATTCTCAGCTGAGCAGCATAGAGCTCCTTGGTATGCTGTCTACAACACCTTTTGGAAAAATAGACTAGATTAGTTACTACTAAACATGAAGGAACGAAATTACAATATACGAATATGAAAGAAAGAAAAACGCGAACTTCACACATCAAACCAGAGTGGCAGCTTGGTGCGGATGCGATAACAATCAGCAGGCAGCGGTACCACGTCAGGGAAGCGACGCTGTTCCTCAGTAGTGCCAATGTTGATCACCACCTTGATGCTCCTGCCTCGATCGTTACCAATACGCTGCACATACTCGCACTGCCCGGGAAACAAAAGTGAACGTGGAGATTGTGGTGGAAGATTGAGTTCCAAGAGAAGCCGGGCTACCTTCACCAGATCAAAGGTTGTTTCTTCCAGGGAGTGTATGAACCAAAGAAGTAGAGAGTACCTTGAAAGACTTGTCAAAGAACAAGAATGAGAGGAAAGAAAAGAAAAAAGCAACAACGAGAGAGACAAGAGATTTTTCACAAGAAATCTGCCACTTATCTACGATCTTGAGAGCCCAAGAGTGAGGAGTACAAGTCTCTTTCCTAACAGTCCTGTTAGCAAGCAGGATAATGATCAAGAACAAGAAAATGAGTGGCAGGACTTCCAGGCAAGGGATTTGTACTCTTTACTCTCGGGCTCTTAGGATCATGGACAAGTGGCAGATTTCTTGTGAGAAATTTCTTGTCTCTCTCTCATTGTTGCTTCTCTCTTATTTCCTTTTGTGTTTGTTCTTCGACAAGTCTTTCAAGGTACTCTCTACTTCTTTGGTTCATACACTCCCTAGAAGAAATAGCCTTTGATGTGGTGAAGGTAGCCTGGCTTCTCTTGGCACTCAATCTTCCACCACAATCTCCACGCTCGCTTTTGTTTCCCGGGCAATGCACCAAAAGATGTCATGAGACCATGATGACACACACAAGCTCTATGGAAGTCACTGTTACCTAGCCTCCTTTCTGCCACTTCAGCCAGCACCTCAGCCAGCATCTGCACCCCCTACAGGTTGGACAACTCACACAGATTTGCTGATCTTGAGCAATCCTTGCTGCGTTGCACTCCTCAATCATCCATAGTTACCATTGCACTGCCAACTTTCATTCCACATGTTCCAAGGTTGTTGGACAAGGCATTTCTTCCAGGAACTCACACTTTATTGTCATTCCTTTCCGAAAGATTAATTCCAAAAACTATAAAGAATAGAACATTTGAAAAAAAAGAAAGAGAATGTGGAGAATGCTGGTGGCAGTTCCTCACTCAATCTGACATCTCTTTAAATTCTGTATGATACATCTAACTAGTTTCTTAACTATAATCTCGACTGTGCTCTTACTGTTTCAATCAAACTACACTTTGGATTCCAAACATTGATTTAAATGCTAAACTCGCAAAACATGCTTTATAACTTTCGAAGAGCTAGGGGCAAACCTTCCTCGTCGCAACATACGCATTCCGAGTCTTGTGAATGTGGCAGAACGAATCCCTCGCTCGTCCACCAGCATCTCCCTTGGCACTCATGAACTTTCCCATCGAAGTAGCTGCCGCAAAGCTCAGCGCCTCGCGAATGCTGCGTGAACGTCTCTTGGGGACCCCGGAGAAACGCCTCCACCTCGGGATGACCCGGAAGTGTTGCCAAAGGTTGACACCACCTGTGTGGATCCGGCTCCTGCAGCTTCGAGAGCTCGTTGATCCTCTCCTGGGCTATGTCGCACAGAGCCTTCTTCCCTGCTTCGCTCGCCCTTGCTCGATGGCCTCCATCTCTCAAACTTCTGCCACAAAGTTCTCGGACTTGTGGATCTTGAGATTGAGTACCAAGCTTTCCAGCAGTGTGGCGTTGTAACACGTCCATCACGTCGATTGCGAGCTCTGCCACCTCTGGATGATTCAAGTCCCTGGTTGTGACCACCCCACACAGCTTCACGAGATGCGAATGGAGATAAGCATCCTGCTTCCAGCAAAAGCATTGAGCAGCGTCTTGCTCCCACAGGTTGATGAGCAGCTCACAAAGGTCTTGTTCCGGCTCTGTGGAAAATGTAGTCGACGAAGATTGGAATTTCGTCCACCTTCAGAGCAAAAAGCATCCCAGCTATCGAGACTGTGGGAGAAGACGTAAAAGAAACTGAGAGTCTTCGCGGCGACTTCCAAGGCCCCCTCAATGGATCCAGCCGCAACGAGATTGCGTGGAAGTGTTGCGTACCGGTCTAGCTCAGTGGAACTCCGGAGAAGCTTCAAAACGAGATCTCTCGAGACATCCCATCCCAGAAACTTGGCGGCTTGAGCAACCACCTTTGCAACCTCATCGGACTTGATCCCTTCGAAAGATATCTCGTTCACTCCCATGTAATGATTGTAGGAGCGACTTTTCAGTCCCAGCACCCCGATCACCCGATAAACTTTGGAATCACCCTTGGCCAAGCGGCAAAACCTTCTCTCCCTCAGCTTCTATTCCACCATGTCTAGTCCTTTTTCAAGTCCTGCCTGGCAAACGAGCTCGATGGTCCTGCGTTTCGGCCAAAACACCACTGCAGCACATGATCCACCCCATAATAGGACGTTGATGTTGGAGCACACACTTGGATACATTGCGAGCGACCTAGGTGTTGCTTGAAAAGGAGGGGCGGCTTGTTTCTCATTCCTTTCAATAAAATGCATTCTTGAGTGGCGAATGAGTCCTACCGTCTATGGTTCTTTGCAAAACTTCCAAAAAAATTTAAGTTTTACAACATCTATGGCACTTCATGCAAAACTCCATTCCACATCTGGTATGTGTTCTTCGTTCTTGATAGCCAACTTTCATTGGCAACTTTTTTCCATTGTTTCCAGCTACGAGAGTGAAAAATGCCTCATAGTTGAGCTCAAAGAAATTCTCCATACTGAGGTAATACGGAGTTCTTTCTTCATGCTTACTCAAATAAACCTTGGATTTTGCAGGCTGATTTCAAGTATGTGGATGGTGCTGGCATGGTACCATCCAAGTCTTCCAAGCTAGCCCTCTGTTTCTATCACCCGGTTCTGAACTCTGCTTTCTTCATAGGATGTTGGGTTCATTGAGACTACAAGGCATGGGGTTCTAGGCGACCATTGCAGTCTACTAAGATCAAACGAGGTGTTCTTCCTCCTCAAAGACATCCTAGAGATCAAAGATGAAGAGAAGAAGCTTGTGGTTCACACTACCCTGCACAAGTCTGAGGAAGTGATCAAGAAACAAGCACGCTTTTGTCTCAGTGACACTGCCATCTCCCACAAGAACAGTGCATGGGACACAAACTCCGAGGATAGCCAAGACTACAACAGTGGTAGCGAGAGCAAGGACAACACTGAAAACTCAGTAGTATTCACCATCAACACTGAGGATGCTAGAGCTCAAGCTCACGGTAAAACCACACCTCATAAGCCACATGAAGGCAAGCTCCATCACCTCAGCATTTTTGTCGCTGGTGTTGCAGAAGGAAGTGATTGAGAAAAGGCCACCATCACAGTGGATGTAGTGCATGTGGTTTTGACCTTTTATCCTATGGTGATTTACCATAGGATAACACTACGAAGCGGAACCTAAACCGTCTTTATGCCACGTGACAGATGCCATGTGTCACATGCCATGTATCCAAAGGAACATGGTGCGGAACCTGAGGTTTAGGGCCTTGGGCCACTAAACAAAGGAACGGTGCCA